GTTTACATACATGTGTAGTAATTGTCCGTTTTCATACACTACAGTAATTGTCAGGTTACATACACTTTAGTAATTGTCCGTTTACATACACGTGTCGTAATTGTCAGTTTACATACATTATAGTAATTTTCAGTTTACATACATTATAGTAATTTTCAGTTTACATACACGTGTAGTAATTGTTAGTTTTCATCACTATAGTAAGTGTCGGTTTACATACACCTGTAGTAATTGTCAGTTTACATACACGTATAGTAATTGTCAGTTTAAACACACGTGTAGTAATTGTCAGTTTACATACACGTATAGTAATTGTCAGTTTACATACACGTGTAGTAATTGTCAGTTTAAACACACATGTAGTAATTGCCAGTTTACATACACGTATAGTAATTGTCAGTTTACATACACGTGTAGTAATTGTCAGTTTACATAGACGTGTAGTAATTGTCAGTTTACATACACGTGTAGTAATTGTCAGTTTACATACACGTATAGTAATTATCAGTTTACATACACGTGTAGTAATTGTCAGTTTACATACACGTGTGCTTATTGTCAGTGTACATACACGTTTAGTATTTTTTTCAAGTATTACCATTGTTAACATCAGTAGTACTGAGATGTTTAATCGTTGGAGGTTTCTTATAAGTGCTTACATAAAATTCGCTTTAGATGAACATTTTTTATACTCCTGAGTAAAACTTCCAAATTGCAACTCCAGTATAGCCGAACAGTGTTTAATTAGTTCAGAATTAGGTCTTTGAAGCATAAGAGCATCTCACGAGTTACGATCAGCCAATTAGAAGTAAAAGGACAGGTTAAAATCGTACAGGTTGCAAATTAAACCCGGAGGAAAAGCGATATAATACTGGTATAGATAGGTTTGTAGCGTGCCAATGTGAAAACAACCCAGTATGTGACTTGTATTAGGAACCTTCATTTACAATTTTGATTCTAAAAGGTGTGATGTGTGCTATATTGTTGATAGACATTATGAATCAGCGTCTGGACCCCAAACAGACAACCAGCACAGATGGTTAGGAATGTTCGTGCTGGATGTAAAATTTTGTTCTTGTGCTAGATTGAGAACCTGTATATGAATATCAATAATGTTAGATTGAAAACGTAATGATATTATATAGTTTTGAATTGATACATTTATCTTTCATATGGCCCTACTAAACCACACACATTGCATACAATACCAATATAAATACAAATATACGCACATCTGCCATACAAATTCAATAATACCAGAAAATAAGCTATATCAATTTGAAATCTGCATTGATGTAGATATACTGGCTAAAAGAGGACACAATATCACGTACTTGTATACCATCTAATATGGTTAAAACATTAGTCCAAGTTAATGTCCTGGAGATTAATTATTAGGAAATGAAAGCAAATTTCGAAAATTCTAACAGAATTGATTTAAACATTGAAAGACAATAATTCCAATATTAAGAAAGAAGGTATTTGTCCTTAACATACCGACGTTGCAATTGTCATTTAAAATTGCAAAACCATTTCATTTTTTTCTATCATTCAGGTATCGTTTCATATCTTTGTAATAAATATAATAAATAGTCATGTTATTAGGTGCGTATAGAGTTGTGTATTAGAACGATGTTTCGCTATATAATGAAATGTTAATCTACATAGTAAACTATTTTATTCATCGCCATGCTGTTAACTTTACAATCTACTTATAATCATCATATTTGATATATTATGCTATCCTTTTGAAGTATCTTTTTTAAGGTGGAGCAGCAGATGGCGCATCGCCTTTAACAAATTTGCCCTAGGTTTAATTCCCTTTACGGACGTGAAAATGTATTGAGTCACCTGACCAACCGCGTGTGTTTTATCCGGGTACTCTCCTCCAACATTTAGACCATCTGCGCTTATCCATCCGGACCAACAAGAATGAATAGCATACGTTGGAATAACCTGTTTCATAGCTGCAGTACAATGCTTATTTATATTTGTATATATTGTATCAATATTTCATTGTCGTTGAAACAGCCAGTCCACCTGTCATGTGAATATATTTTAAAAAAGTCAATATTTAATCTGATGTGAGAATTATGAATACTTATATTGTATTAACTTTTAATATTAAAGGCTCGTAATATGTTTCTCAATATATCTTATTATGATGCGCTATTGAAACAGGTGACCGCTCGGTCACATGTTCACATGTCCTCCGAGTCATGTGAACAATAGCGCACCGTATTCAAGTTCTGAAGTGTAATCATGTCAGAAGTGATCAAGTCTCAGCGTAGTCAGGCCGAAAGCATTTCGGTAAGCTTAAGTAATAGTTGTGAGAAATAGTTTAACCCATTTCATCATCCTATCATGGTATTGTATATAACTATTGATCTACAGAATTCGCTTTGAAATGGTAACGTATTCATTTTTCCCCTTTAAAAAATTCAGGGATATCGAAATTATGTTTTATCATTTCAATCATCTAAACGGAAATAACGTTGTAACATAATTGTATTTTCGAAGATGAACCTGTATGTGTGTACTAGAATGTATAAACGTATGATTAGTTTAGTTTCATTTTGTTTAATGTCCTATTAACAGCTAAGGTCATTTAAGGACGTGCCTCCATGTGTGTAGTGTAATCGTGCTTGCGTGTGTGTATGCAGGAGACAGTGTATGTTTATATTGATATACAATATTATTTAATATTTCACTGACTTCTGAACAAACATGAATAAACGTGTGTGTTTTGGGAGGCTGCGATATCTTCGTGTTTGTTGCCTTGTGATAGCGTGGAACTGATGCCGACTTTATAGTGCTACCTCACTGAAACATACTGCCGAAGACACTCAGCAGGAGACCCGATCCGGTCACATTATACTGACAACAGGCGAACCAGTCGTCCTGCTCCTAAATTGCCGATAGTTAAGCAGGAGTAGAAACTACCATTTTACAACATAAGGTTTGTTAACTTATACTGTGTTTTTATATGTACCCCTTCACTTTGCCCTGTATTCTGCATGTTACGGTATATTTTAGATATTTATTATGTTGACCTTTAGTACGCGTATGAGTCCTGAATAGACCAAATGGCCTTATAACAAAAACAAATCAAAAAATGTGTTTCATTTCTTCGTATTTTTAGTGATTATTGAAATATCTGAGGTCAAAAAGCTTGGTTATAAAAATGACATTTAGAAGACATTATACAAGGTGGAGCCATACTTGTAGTTTTGCTCTTACAGCAATCCCAAGTACATTTTTATTCTGCTTACATAATACTTTAAACTCCGAAACTACCACCGTATGGTTGGTAAACATGAGCGCTAAACACTTAGAATGCTGAACACGACAAGGAGATAATGAAGTTCTTGAGAATCAATCATGTATGCCAAGAAGGCTAACCACAACTTGTATCTCTGTGGAGAACAGAACAACATAAATAAATGATATCTGTTTACATCTTTTTGATGTGGTTACCATGGTTAATGTGGTTAACCACAACCACTAAAATCTGGCAATGGAGTTCCAAAAATCCAGACATAACCATTAACCTTTGTCCGTGTAACGTTCGTATACAAGTAAGATTAGAAAACTTCCTACCACGATATCAGGCAACGAGACTGAAATCAAAATATAGAAAACGGCGAAACGAAAAATCGTATATAAACCAAACGAAAACAAAGGTATACAGGTTGTAGCGGGCTTCAGTGATAGTAACTCAGGGCTTTATGAGTCAGTAGTGTAGCAGTTAAATTCTTTTAGGATTCCTGCCCTAATGCAGGCAAAACTTAAGAGAATGACACTTCATGTTTTCGTGTATATAGTTATCTCCCCTTAATAAATTAATGGACATAACTGTAGCCTGTGTTCGATAAGAGACTACAGCTGTCCTGCAAGCTTAGTTGATATGAGGGACTGTTTCGTATTTGGAGGTCCAGGGTTCCAAACCTAGTCTAGCAAAATTTTAATTGTACTCTTCTAAAACAAGACATTGTTGTTGTTATTTGAGTATTTATTTACTTTTATTTACATGTATGTTTTAAAATGGTTAAATGTAAAGGATAACCATTTATTGTGCAGCTTTATATAAAAAAAAATATAAACAATTATATTGTTATTATTTATTTGTTATGTTTGAAATAAGTCATCATTCCATGAAATTGCAAATGTTTTGCCTGATTTTTTCTCGATATTAAAACAAAATATCATAAACCCATCAACTCCGAAAACATCCGTTCAATGTCTCGCAAGGTACAGGTCCTTTATACAAAATGATTTATTATAGCTGTAAACACCATTTTAAAAAGTTTGCAAAGTATAGTTACACTTGTTGACAATGATATGATAATGTAAAGTTATTTGAAAAGAACAAATGTAATGTCAATCGGAATTCAAAATTATACGGACACATGCAAGTCACGCAAGGTATAGTTTACTTTTCGGAAAACTATAATAAACCAGGAAAAACGATGTTCTAGTGCGTAGCTACAGCTTTTGTTAATGGTACGATGAACCTTCATGACACATTATCATCGAAATATATATGTTCCAAATAAGTGAACAAGAGTCAATAGCAATGCATCTATAGTACCCACAGTTTTAAGGCATCTTTGAACATAAATGCATTTTTTTCTTGTAACAGTCACAATTTCAGATTGTTGGAAATACACCGTTTTCAATCAATCGCAACTACAACTGTCGGTATTCATTGCGGAGTCACCCATACATGTATTCATGGATTAAAGACATCAAATGAAACTAATATAAAAGAAAGTAGAGAAATTAATATGAGAGTATATTCTTTTACACACCACAGTGTCTAATGCAAAAACATGCAAAGTTTAATTACCTATAAATATTATTGATTTATGCTTGGAACAAAAAGTTATAGATTTTCGGTAAATATTTTGAACAGTTTTGAAATAGTTTTCCAAAGTAAAAGACGATGTTCAGCTATCGTTGAGGACAAGGCGTATACAAAGGACCAATGATTGACCTACCTTGATCAGCAGATGTATGACCGTTGTTGGTCACCGTGAAATGAGGAAAACATCTTTCTCACTCAAAACACAGCCGTCTTGGAAGAGACATCAACACAGCTGAAACAGAATGAAAGGAATCAAGACAACTGCACTCCGTTCTTTTTTCAGCGAGTGACGTGGGCGATTTTTGGCAGCTGATTCATTATTTTGAGGGCAAGATGTGATGACAGAGCATACCCCCTAGAAAATTCTGATATTTCAAATTAGGGGAAACAATAAATAACGAGAGATGCAAATAGATCTGTGTTTCCTTGGCAACAAAATTATTTTACATATACTTAAATAAAATGATAATTTATAACATTTAAATAATTCATAACTTCATCATCCTGTCATGGTTACTTCCCTTACATGAATGCTACTGATTTGGTTTTAATTGTTAAGCTTTTTTCACTGGCGTTTTATTACGTGTTATATGAGGATTTGAGTCTTAGAAAAAATAATGAAAACGGACCAAGAACAAAAATGTTTTGTTAATTTAGATGATGCACGGTTACAACAACAAAAACAAGATGGCATAAGCCCACAAAAAGGAAGGAAATGTACTTTCTGTATCACGCGTTGAAAGCTTTGTCTTTTGTCAAATTCAGAAAGGGATATCTTTCACCGACGATCAAATACACAACAAACATTTCATGAATCATACCAAAAAACTTAAATCTAACATTTAGAAATAAGATAACCACTGTAAAATACCCTGAAATGATATTTACTGTAGTCATCATCAAATCTGTGAGTTAGAATCACGTAAGGTTCAAAAGTTGTTCTGTTGAGGTGCAAAATGGTCCATGTAGAATCTGCAGGTGGATTTTCTCTTTCCCTATGCTTGCCGTAATATTAAGAGCCAGCTATTCTTTCGAGTAGTGGAAAGGTTTACATTATACAAATTTTACTCTTTAATTAAAATTAATACATAATTCTGTGTCACAGTCCTTTAGAAAGTTTGGATTCCCAACCTTTTTACCCATAGTATCACCGACGAGTCAGAGGAGAACGAAACGATTGTATGGTGCAGTGTAATCCATTTCTAGCAATCGCTATTTATTACCAATTTTTATATTTGCAATTACCTGTGTGATTTACGTTCATCAATGATTCGTCTTCACTGCATTTACTACGTACTTTTATCGACGTGATATCAAATAGATCATTTACTTAGAACAGGCTCTTAAATGTCAAACCAACTGTCGCATTTTATAAACGATTATCAGAAAAGGCTATACTGTAGCAACTTATACATTCTACCCAAAGAAGGGAAATCAATGATCATAAATTAAAAAAAAAAGGATTGACAAAGTATGTTACTATTCCTGATATTATGATATTATTTAGGTAAGTACCATAGTTTTAAACTATGAAGACAGAATCAATACATTAAGCTGAATTTTAATTGTTCAAATACCAGACAAAGACATTTCAAAGATACTATCTCAGTACAATACACAACACTCTAGATATTATCTCAACAACATCCATACTTGTATTAGATGAATGCCTACGGATGTGGTTTGGAACGAGATGAAAATAGGTTCAAGCAACCACAACCTATTCTTTACAGCATTGTAAGAAACACCTTACAAATAAGTTTATTTACCGCCGAGTCATAATACGGAACAATACCTTTATATGACTTTAATTTAAATGGATCTATAACAGCATATTTGAAGATACAAATATTTAATTCAAGATACAGAGCACGATTAGTCCAATAAAGATATGTGTTGATAACTTTCACACACTTTCCGTTACCACATCACTCATGCTATTTAATGGACCCTATTATGTCGCAGTTTGCGGTAGAAACCACTTACATCATTATTGGATGGAGTTGATGTAGAAATTCAGAAGAATATTTTATACTGTTGGTGATTAATATCTACGGTATTATAAGGGGGTACATTACTACGGCGTCACCACAAAATGTGAGTTTCGATTCGATTGAAAGACATCAACTGTAGCCAAGTAAATAGGAGGAGGAGAAACGTAAGATCGCTTAGAGAAGTCAAATAAAAGTTCCGCAAGACTAAACTTATCCTGTCTATAACTGGTGTTTGTGGGTAATGGTCCTAGACGAACATTGTTCAAGGAAATGCTACTGATATGAACATAAAAAACACATAAAAAGGTTTTTAAAAAGCGAGTTTGTAAATGCTTTCTATAAACGGAGGGGACATCAAAAGCTGCTCTGCTAAGGATTGTTTTAGAAAACCAATACTAATGTCGAGTCTGATTCCAGATAATCACAAAGTGAAACTCGATTTTCAGCAATACTAAACAGGATGTACATTATTGTGCATATGTCTGGCCCTGCAAATAGAAGATGGGTTCTTCAAAAGAATGTGCCACGTCAGATATTCACAGCTCTATTCAATAGCACAGACACGTACTTCAATCACCACATATAGTAACTATTGTAGAAGATAGCATGTTGTATTTATGCCAGGCTCACAACCTTTATACAAAGTGTTGTATATAAACGTATTGTGTATAAAACGACGTTTATCAAATGTTACGGTCGACAACATATTCTATTTCCTTGTGTGTTATGGAAGTCTGTGTTTTTGTTTGCTGTTGTGTTGTAACAACGTCTGTAAGCGCTTTCATGATACCACAATGCTTGGATTTGACACGGATTTGCATGGCGGGTGTTGTCGGTGTGACAGAAGACGCTTACCCTTCCGGAACACCTAGTCGTAATAGCCTTGTCCTTTTTGCAAGGGTTCCAATTCAATATATTTCTTCAGCCCTTGCTTTAAAAATATCGATTACATATTTATTCACACGCTACAATATTTGTATTCCTAAGTCTTGACTAACGTTTTAAGGTTGCCTATTTTCAACAGTTGAACGACGTTATGGAGTTTGTATCGAGAAATGTTAATCCACATATACATTACACCTGGATTAAAGCTGACCACAATTTATATAAAATATATAAAATACACATATATGCTTACATTTCTGATCATGCGTAAGAAAATACAGAATTTCCTATGAACACTGAGCTAATTCATGTAAGCGTTCATACAAATAGATCTAGGCATGATGATTTACTACATATATTACAATCTTCTGATTGGAATACTGATTTTAAACGTGATATTTGATCTAAAATCTGTAAAATATCGTTTAATAACTCAAATTTGTCTCGAAATACAGAACTTATATAAAGAACAATGTTAATTTATAGCAATAATTAAATGCGTTTCTATACTATTGATCCCTCTAGTTAAAATCGGCGGAAGCACGTAGGAGGTTCAACTAAAGAGCACTAAAGAAAGTAAATGTCGTTGGACAGATAATCCACACCATGCTCGACTGGTGAGATGGAATTTATTTAAGGCAACTTATTGATTAGAAAATATCAACATTACATATTTATAAGAATGCAACTATTTTGTGAGTTCGTAAACTATTAAAAAGCATCTCTACTGTAAGCATGATTACCGCTTAATGCCTTTGTAGCAAAAAGCCTATGTTGTGTTGTTTATACCTATAGTTGGTGAACAAACAACAAATCGAGTAAATACAAAGTTGCATAATAAAGCACGAAGCTAATCACTCGTTAAATAGTATCGATTCATTAAGCAGAGAAAGCGATTATATCAAAACACTAGACGTAGTGTTCTCAGCGTTGTGCAGACCGATTCAACCATTTCATGGATATCGCGGATTTTATACTAATCACTTACATTAAATTATAGCTTCATTGGCGACATCCTTATCCGCTATCCTAATACGCGAGCATTAACATTTCCGATGAATTATCATATTGGTTTCAATTGTATAAAATCTGGAATAATGTTTCATATCATAACCTTTGATCATGCTATGCAACGGATGTAGCGTCCGGCCTAACGGAAAACGTTGAAGCAGTTTTATCATTAACCTTGCTCTCATTAGTTTCATTTTTGAAATTTTTAACTCCACTCATTGATAGGAAACTTATTTTTTATTTGGTAAAATGAAAGTATTTTAACGCCACCAAAACAAACTCAATCTCAAATCAAATTAAGTGACAACATTGTTTGCCCAAAACGTGATATTGAGGTAAACGTTCTGTTACCATGTATTTGCATGATGAAGTGTTTAGAAGATCTTTATTTTTCGGAACACAATCATTTTTCTTTTTGTGGAATGTCACTTGGTCTATAAATGCGTAGTTATTATGTTTGAGAGTGTAATTCAATATTTTGTCAAATATGGATTATATTTTACATTTTGTATGAAATGAGCGTTTCATTCACACAAATTTGTCATAGTTTGTTTAATTATATTTAATTATTTTTGTTTTGCGTATTTGCAACCGCTTAGTTCAGTACCTGGCATATACCCCAGGTAGGCCTTGAACCAGCGACCTGATGGTAGATAGCTAGTCATCGTAGATGGTCAGACGCCATAAGCATTGCATCCTTGCAGCAGGTTGGGGATCGAGAAAAAAACACCCACCCACTGCACGTATCGAACAGGCGACTTAGGTTGGAACCCCCTGCATACTTGGGGATTTGTTCTTGTGCCCTCAATTGGGGACACAAACACGCCAAAATAAATATGCTACACCCTTTGCAATATTTGGGATCTTTATATTTTTCTTTACTTCAAACTACCTTTTCGCCTAGTGCCTTGCTTGGTGATACCTCACTCTTAGCATTAATGTTTAACATTCGCCCAGGTGCAATGGCTTTTATTCCCATACCGGGACATACCAAAGTTCTTAAAATGGTAGCTGTTATTCCCTGCTTAACGTTCAGCAGTTAGGAAACTACCAACAACTGGTTCACCGGTGTCAAAATAATGTGACTGGGCAGAATGAATTGCTGGTGGTCTTCGGTAAGTAATTTCAGTGAGATAGCACTATAAAGTCGGCATCAGATCCGCGCTATCACAAGGAATCAATAACATCAACAACTCCTGTCTTCAGCACACAAACACATGCATAACACACATGGAGACACTTCCTTTAATGATATTGGCGGTTGAAAGGACGTCAGGATTTATCTTAAGGTATTAATTGAACTCATATGTATTCTCATTTTTAACCCATTCCCGTTACTCCT